CTAAAAAAAAAAAATAAAAAAAAAAAAAAAAAAAAATAAAAAAAAAAAAAATTACCGTATGGGACTCGCCGATTCGATCCGTCCATGGCGATTCCCAAGTCGAACCGGGCGAGTCCGGTTCGACTCGGCGCTTTTTAAACACTAATCTGAAGTGTTTATTACATTCGTGTGTTTTCTAGGTCACGGAAGCATCAACCGTTCATTTCCCATGATGGATAGTGGCAATAATTCTTGAAGGACATTTATTTGGTTAAAATGATATCCATTGTCCATCGTTGGGAATGAATGGCAGATACGTTCGTTGTAAACGTGTATCATGGACTATTGGTGCATGGGATGCTTTCCTTCTTTTGTCACACAATAATCACTGGGGCTGGTTTCAAAGTAAGGCATACCTTCAAATACTATTGAAAGATGTTGTTTTAGTGCCGTCAATCTTTATGATGGCCTGAAATTTTATTTTCATCTCTAATTATAAAATTAAAGTTTAAAAAATAGTGCAGATCAAGCAAATATATAAACATTTGAAAATATTTAAAATTGACGGTCTAAATAATACATTACAATATGCATTATTTTTAATACTTTAAGGTTTTTTTTTTTTTACATCCATGTATCTCAAGGTCAAGATGATTGGATTTGAGCGTTTTTCAACATTGGAACAACTTACTCTTATGAATTTTTGAGGTGCGCCTTAGTTGATTGTTTAGGGCCAGGCCTCAACCTTGTATAACCTTTTTCCAATCACATTTGTCCAATATGCTTTGTTTTCATCGAAGTACATTAGATACTAGATACACATGACTATGGTTACAGTATTTAGAAAACATGAATTAGATACCAACTAGGCACTTAGGGGTTTGAGTTAGCCATTGATTCTCAAGTCAGCTTCGCCATGAGCTCGGGCTTATGTTGCTCACATAAAAACATCCCTTTCCATGTATTTCGATTCTTGCAAAAGAGAAACAGTATAAAAGAAAATAAGATTGCGAAAATAAAAGTTTCAAGACCATAAAAAATTTACCAATACAGCTACAGCATTGCGGATTTTTCAATCATCAGTGTTATATGACATTTTATGAGGCCCTGTCAAGTGGCCCAGATCGGCTCCCTGATTTTTCAATCCCTAAAACAAACAGTGTGCACCTCCAAGGTCCACTCTATGTGACTAAATTACCCAAACAAAAAAAAAAGTGCCGCTCTCCATATCCACTCGACAAAGGAAAGGGTTATCACCGTTGTTTGTCAAGTCTATTAATGGGAGAGTTGAAGTTCATAACAGTGGATGGTTTTGGTGGATTTTTTAGTTGGCCATCCCTACGCAAACAGTTTTGATCAGAAATGGATTAGCCATAAAAGGGACTTATTTCATCCCCGTTGTTTCGTAGAGATTTTACGCATGTTCCTGTTACGGGAAACATACCTAGTGACACCAAAATCCACCCACGAATCAGTAGTGCCTCTTATTGATTTGACTCCGGAGATCATGTTAATGAATTTCTCTTTGGTCCCAAGCCCTTTGCTTTTTTCAAAACAGTTTACTGTAAAAATAGTAGATAGGTGACTTCATTCATCTGTCTTAAGCTTATTTACCATTTATTGCCTTGTGTTTACAACCAAATCCAGAAATATCTCAAATAAAATCCTCCACGATTTATGGTTT